ATTTTTGAGGAATAGGCTTATGGATTATGTACTAAAAGTAATTGCTTTGAAATAAAGTAATGCAATGTATATTTCTGTGGTCAACCTTAAATTATCCATATGGATCTTTTCTCTCAACATTTTTGCCTTAAACTTTTGCCTGGGGAATGTGAGTTATTGGACAATGTTTAGTACGTCCTTCCTGGATTATTAAAAACTCTAAGATGATCATATTTTCCCAAAGATCCTGTCACTCAGCATCATTCACTAGTTGGAGAAGCTGCTAAGTTCTTTCATTTTCTTCGTCTTCTTCAAGATTCTATAGCAGGCCATATCAACCCTCTTCTGCAAGCATTTATCAACTCTCTGCTGTTAGCATCTGGTAAGTTGTAGGGTGTACTAAGAAATTTATGTGTATGGCTTTATCCTGTCTTTTAGGGCTGAACTGAGAAATATCCTTTGTTAGCTTTAGCAAAGTCTTGTCTGTCGGCTGACATAGTTTATGCGTGGGAAAAGAGATCGAAGTTTCTACCACAACAGATTCTTTTTGCAGAAGGTTAGGTCACATTTTTACATGGCTTTTATATTATACACTAAATGTGGAAATTGTGTTGAAAGAAAAGTAAGGTAAGGAAAGGAATGTAAAATAATACCATGTTTTGTTTTGTTTTGCCAACAACCTTTAGTAATTGTAGTTTCTAACAGACTTTTAGAAATACTTATTTGAAGAATGCTAATTTAGTACCAAAGACCATGTTTTCTTTGAATGTAACATTCACTTTGAATGTGAGAATCTAAAAGTTGTTCATTGTCAGTATTATGGAGTCAGAGGTTTTTTGCATATTTGTTTTAATAGACAATAAACCCATATTAACAAAAGCACGCATTGAATGAGATTGCATTTTCATTTTCTTAATGTTAAATAGTAGATAAAACTTTTATGTTTAAAAGAAACCGATTCCTTTCTTTGGGCTCAGGAGGGCATAACAGGAACTGTCCTACAGGATTAAAAATACTTCCTGTAATCATCTCTTAACTTTGTCCCTCCCACTACTGAAGTATACAGATTTTTCATAATATCCTTCATATAGGGGGAAACCTAAGGAGAAAACTTACAAATTTTCCTAAGGTCAGTGGCATCACAGAGCAAAGACATTTCTGGCTTATAAATCTGTGCTGACAAATTACCTCTATTCAATGATTAATTAAAGGGCAGTTGTATAGAAGATGTATGTGGCAATTTTGACCTTGAAATATATAATCTTTGGTCTCAGAAGAAATATATAACAAAACATGAAAATTATTCAATATTTAAACTGGATGGAAAAATTGCTGGCTTTCTGGTAAGGTAGGAATAAGTACATATACTTCTGGGAAAGGAAATGTAAAACGTACCTATTTCTATTGATGCAAATGTGCTTTCTCAGCCCCCTACACCTCCTTTCCACTCTACAATGTACTATGAATTACATCTCATGCACTGAAAAATAATATTACTTGTTTTCCCCTACGTTAGCCACAATAAATACACAGAAAACAGAATTGTAGAGCCAGAAGAAAATGTGACAGACATTCTTATCTAGACCTACAACTGCAGGAACATGTGTAAATAAGCTCTTTTAGATAAAACAGCTTTATATTCTCTTCTTGAAGATGTCCACAACTATAAATGCACAATCCTCCTGGCAGCATTTGATCCCTGGAGACTCCTTCTAAAGTCACTTCCCCATCCTCCAATAACTCCATCACATGTTATATTTTGTCTCCAAAACTGGTTATGATATGAAATTGTGTTATTTATTTTTTATTCTTTTGTTGATGGTCTCTCTCAATAGATGCAAGTTATATTCTGTCTTGCTCATTTCTCTAAGAATAGTTGATGCTTAATAGTTACTTATTAAAAATATGTTACATTGATAGAAGGAAGTTAAGGAATTAGGATATTAGGTAAGAAGAAAGAAAGATCAAAATAATATTTTGACCTTATGCCTAGCTGAAATACCTTCTGCTTTCAATTAAGCTCATCTCCTGTTGTTCAGTCTTTGACAGATAAGGGTGGCAACAATACCACATTCTCCAACCAAAATTCCCCCAGGTACTTGCGCAAAACTATTTAGGACAGTTAGCAGGCACTCAATCTTACTTTACCCTTAGTTTCTTTGAGAAGAAACAAAGGAGAAAAATATATAAATAAACAAGATAAAACAAAGCTTTAATTGATGATGACAGAAAGCTGTGAATTATTAGTTTCACAGAGTATGAAATCTTATTGCTTAAAAGAAACTATTTTAAACAGGCAGCAAGTTCAAATGCAAATTTAAAAAAAAAAGAAAGGAAAAATCATTAGATGAAGAAAATGGTTCTAAGGGAAAATATGACAGAATAAGTATGGGTGGTGGGGAGTAGCTAAGTAGGATATAAGTTCCAGGCAATACTCAAGTTACCTGGACTGTCACTGACATTCATCCTTATGTTCTCCAGTTCTTAGCTATCTAAATTCCACATTTTAGCTTTGCAGAGTGAAGAGATTTGCAAGGCCTGGATTCTTTCAGAAGGATATTTGATAGGGTAATGGCGTTTATTACAAAAACACATTGACTTAGACTATTCCAGCCCAAGCAATAAGTGGAAATTTTCTCTCCCCAACATATGTATTTATTGGTGAGTAAGAAGCAGGTCCAAAAATGATTATGGATGAAAGAACATGACAAAGTTCAATCATCTGAAGCAGAAATAAGATCATAAATCTGAACAATGAAGTTTTCTCATCAACAACCAAGAGGTTGTTGCTTTGCTTTGTTCTATATTTTATTATGACAGAAATATGAACATATTGGAATGCTCTTCTAAGGCAACATTTGAAAGATTTTACTGTTGGTCTTTCATGAATTGCATTTATTTGGTAAGAAAAATTATCTGTAAAAATAGATGTGGAGAAATTGAAGCATATTTCAATATTAAAATGAGCAAGAACCTAGACAATCAAAATCCTTTTGTCTCTGTATAAATTTGCTGACAATCCCATTTATGGGATCAGGGAAGTAATGAGAAGAATTTTCTTTCAGGAAAAAAGTTTAAAACCTAACCTATGGGTACCATTTTTGGAAAACATTCTAAATTTGTAACAACTGTGTTGCAGAGAGGGGGTCATAAAGTTACATATAGAGGACTTTTACCTATTTGATTAGGTTGTATGTGATGTCAAAATACCATTTTTAAGTATAGGGAGAAGGATATGATAGAAGAAGAGTCATAACAGATTGGCTTTGTTAATGCTAGGGCTGGTCTCATGTTGAAAAGATATTGATGTAAGTGTGGTGGTCAATGGGAAGTGATTTGGTGGTGGTAAAAATGGAGGACATGGGGATGGGGATGAAGGTGGAAAGATTTCTTCAAAATCACCTCTCCATATTCTTCTATGCTCTGTTAACTGACGAGAGAATGTCAACCTAATGATACATTTCATTGGCTTCAAAATTTGAAAGTGATTTCAAGGGTTACAAGATGGTTACTCATTCATTCATGCACCATATTTTTAATTGAGTTCCTATGTGCTGCATCTACTGGGCTAGATGTTAAATACAAAATGGTGAGCATTAATTTGCTTTTATTTTCCTTATGTACAAAGTGGAGATTAGAGTTTCTCTCCCTGCTTATCTCACAGAACTTTTTGGAGCTTGAGTAAGATAGTATGACCTATGCAATAACATATAAAAATACATAATAATAATGGTAGTAATATCATATTTGGGAAGGAAAATACTTCAATTTTTCCTTCCTGCCATGAAAACATGTTCTGTTGTAGATTAATACAGAAGGAGAATCAGAACAGCTGATGGGGCAGGGAGTGATTGCTATTCCATTAAGAGAGGGAAAAAACTCTGAAACTGTGAGAGCAGAAACACTGGAAAGAAAGTTACCTTTACAATTTTGTTTGGTGCCAACTCCTTCCTTGCCAGAGCCTATAATGTACTTGAGCTACACTGCTTGCCATTGGGTTTTAGCTTAGTGTTTCTCAAACCCCAGTTAGTCGTGTATCAACTTCACAGATTTTTCCTATTATCCATTTATAACATTATTAATATTTAATTAATATTTTTCTTTAAATCAGTAATGTGTTATATATAAAATATTGTGAATACTTTAAAAATGCAAAGATTATATAATTCCTTTAAAGACCAGTACCGCTTACTATAATAAAAGGTAGATATAAAACCCAATAAAATTAAAACAAAATCACTTTATTTAATTCTAGGTAGGTTCCATTGTCTAACCAAGGCCCTGAGCCTGAGGCCAAAGAGTTTGCTCCTTCTTCACTATGAAGGTTATTGAGTGATTATTGAGTAAGTGCTGAAGAAGTGTTACAGATATGCTAGCACCAAACTGAGAACTTCTCTTTGACACAATCAGAAAGCTGGAAAGATACTAAAAAGTTCAAAGAGGATTAACTTTCTTACTCAGTGATACAATATTATTTAATGGAATTTCTTATACTAGCTCAAATGCCTTGCAGAAGTCAATACCATATAATGCAAAGCCCTGGTGTAGCTGGTCTTTAGATCTTTAGATCTAACTATATCTAACTATACCTCTTTATTCTTCTTATTCCATTTCAACAGAATGACCAATGAACTCTACTACACAGTTGCAAAACACTTTCTAAGGAGGATTCCCCCTCCACCCCGAGGCTGAATTCCCAAATTGTTGTTCATTCCACAATGTGTATCATTATGATTACTTAAAGGGCAGAATAACTAGCACTTCAAGAAGCTAAAGAATGTATTCAGAATTAAGCCTAGCGTGCACCTTTTATAGACACTGTGGGGAGAGGCAAACTTATAAATATGCTAGCAACATCTTGCACAAGAACACATGGTAGATTAGTGGGCAGAACAAAATGATCTCTAGGGACTTGCTCTTAAGTTTCCTGACCAGAAGATCACAGTCCTTTCTCACAGATAAGAAAATTCAAGCCTCAAACCAATGAAACATAACTTAGAGAATGGCCCCATAGGACTTACCTCCTGTTAGCATGAGGGCACATTTGCACATACAGTTGTCATTATCTGCATCTTTAGTGCTGAAATCAGCACCATGTAAGATCAGGCTGCTCTGTTTTCCTGCTGTCCCAGTGTGACCCTTTAAATACAACCTGAAGTTTAAAAAAAAAAATGAAAAGATAAGCCATTTAACAGAATAACAGAACCCAGAAGACCAGTTTGTTGAATGTTTGCCTTTTTCATCATTTTCTCCCTTCTTTGTACTCAGCCCTTCTAACAAACTAGTATAAGATCCAAGCTAGAAAGAAAGAAAGAAAGAAAGAAAGAAAGAAAGAAAGAAAGAAAGAAAGAAAGAAAGAAAGAAAGATGGATGGAAGGTAGGAAGGAAGGAAGGAAGGAAGGAAGGAAGGAAGGAAGAAAGAAAGAAAGAAAGAAAGAAAGAAAGAAAGAAAGAAAGAAAGAAAGAAAGAAAGAGAAAGAAAGAAAGAAAGAAAGAAAAAGAAAGAAAGAAAAGAAAAGACTAAACCACAATAAAATTCTCTATGGCTTGTATGCTTGGTGTTTATTTCACAATGCATATTCAAACTCATATAGTTCTCTGATAGTGCATGATCTACAAAAGGAAAATAGGTTTATTTTATTACCACAAGTATTAATCTCCAAAGAAAAAATGCCTTGTAGAGTGTCATTACAGCATATAATTATGTTAATATTGAATAGTAATGATGTGATAAACATTATTCTTAATAGCAATACTAATAATAATTCTCATTGATTGAGGACTTGCTCTGTGCCACTCTGCTAAATGCTTTCCAGTTATTATTTAATTTAATTTTATATTAAATTTGTGATCTAGGCATCAATATACTAATTTTTTATGCTAAGATTTAGAGAAGATAAATAAGCTGGAATTTGGCTGTGTTTGACTTTAAAATTCAAGTTCTTAATCATTATACATTCTCTGAACAAATATTTGTTGAGCACATACTATATAACAGAAATTGTTCTAAGTACTTAAGCTACATCAAAGGGCCATGCCCATAAGGAGCTTACATTCTAGTAGTATCCCTAAAATTAAGTTCAAAATGCCAACTGTTTAACCTCAAATATGGCATTCTTCAAAGAACCTAACCTACTTTACTCTCTAGAAACATTTCTTATATGAAATTTACATAAACCTAGATCAGGGGCTCTCCAACAGTTGCACATATAGATAATCATCTGGTTATTTGTGGAAAAGGCCTTTTCACTAGGCGTAGGAATTTATATTCTCAATTAGTATCTCATATTACTCTTTGCAGATTGAAGAATTCTGGTCTAGAATTTAAAAACTAGTGGACAAATCACCATCAATGCCTAATGTAGTTCACTGATGTCCGGTCATTTCCTACTGATCCTATACTTTGTTTCCATATCCACCTGGGTACTTTGAACAAATGCAAACTTGCTTAGGTCCTTCAGCAGTTCCTTGGGGGTCAGAATAACTAAACTAAGCTTGTCAGAAGTGTCACTCTGATACAAGGTCTTCTCTGGTTGAGACTCTACCTTTCTTTCTAATTCTACCTAATATGGTTCATCTGTTCTCATTTATCAAAATCATCTAGCTATATTCCTTTCATATCCATGTATATTACCACTTCTGTACCTGAGTCTTATTTATGAATCTTATCCACCCACAAAATAGTTAATATCTTTGTATGAGGGAGACACTACTAGGACCTGGGCCAGCTCTGAACAAATTTTACATTATTATTAAATAGAAATAATACAGGTCAATTAATATTTGGATTTTTATTTTTTCACGTATATATTTGACTTGTGTTTGTACCTAAGTATATGTAAAGGTCCCCCTATTATTTTGTAAAGTTGATATTAGTTTTAGCAAATAACAGTACTATTGTATGCTTGTGCCAAAACATTTTACAGATATTCTGCAGAGATTTTTTAGTCAGAACAAAATATACAATTAAGCCCTACTCAGGTTTTGTTGTTTTCAATGATTAATAGAACCTGTGGTTAACGGTAAGTTGAAGGCAGCTTCTAAAGCTAAATTATCATACACAAGCTTGTATTTCAAAACTCTGAGAGGCAGGCTAAAAGTCACCAGTGATAGAGGATTGTCGAATTTTTGAAGCGTGGATTTACATTTCAGGTTGCAGGCAGCCCACGGGTGGGTGGGTTTCATCAGGGGAGAGAAAGATGAGAGGTCACCAATGGGAGCCTGGGACATGTTACCTGGGTGAATTTACAACCTTCCAGATTTGATCACTTTCTCAGCCTTTCAGAGATAGACACATAGTCACAAAGCTAAGGGAGACTTTTTGTAAGTTCTCCATTTACATTCAAAACTGGGACATTGTGGGGTCCAGGATCATGGTCTTATTAGAGAGAGTTTCACACAGAAAGCCAAGTTATAATTGGAAAGTTGCTTGTTTGGCGAACACAGAATCAGTTGGGGGAAGATGAATGATTCAAAAATTAAATAGCTGTGACTCTGCAGGCTTGAAATCTCCTGCTCCACTGGGACTGGCTGAGGTTAGCCCACAGGTGCTCTTGGATGAGCCATGCTAATTCCATCTCTGATTTTTGGCTTCTCTATGATTTGTGATGACTTTCCTTCTTTTTTTCAAAAGGTAAGTCAATACCATTATCCCTGTAAGTAGCTTTAAGCTCACTGATGGGGATAGAGATTCCAGAACACAATGTTTTCTACACCTTCATTTTCAGGTAATTCAGCACAAATGTTCAGTTGATATTACATGAGTGACTGCTATGTGCTGGATATATTTCATACTTTTATCCTTTCACAAGAGGGTTATATTTTAAGACTTATAGTTTATAATGGTTTCTTTGTGTTACCATGGCAATTGGAATGCCCAATTATAAATTTAGGAAGTAGAGAAAAGCAAAAAGAAGAAAATAAAAAGCAACCCAAATCTCATCTCTGAATATAACTATTCTTGGTGTCATGGTTTATATGCATTTAGTCTTGTCCTTGTTTTCCCCCCTCCAAATTGAAAATATTATCTAATATTATCTATTTTTAAGTATATATGTAATATCTGATCATATTCTTATAAAAATTTTGAACAATGCACATAAAGTTGCCCACAGACCTATCTCATCTCTTTAGAAGTAATCATTTACATTGTTTTGCATCTCTCAAAACAGTTTGTCTTCATGTATAAATACAAATGAAAATAAAATCATACTCTACAGATTTCTTTATACCATGCTTCCATACATAATTGTATGACCATTTTTTTCATGCCATTTCTTATTCTTCTCCGACATCATTTGGAAGCTATTGTATGACTATCCCCAAAATTGTTACAAGTTTAAGGGTGCCTTCATATATCTCCAAGTATGTATGGAAGCATGTAGAAAGAAGTGTAGCATAAACATCAACAATGTCTTTTCCTGACCTTTACCTCTATGGACTTCATTATTGCTATAGGTTAGAGTCTGTAAGTAAAAAGAGACATTTTTCCAGATCCTTTTAATCAACATTAGAAGGTAAGTCTTCTAGTTCTGGCAGCTCTTCTCTGGATTATTACAGAAGCCTAACAACTAGTCTCACTGCCTTGAGTCTTGCTCCTTCCCCCTTGCCCTAAAATCCATGCTCCAAGTGGCTCATTCAAAAACCTGTATCTCATTATTCCTCCACTCTGGTTAAAATCCCTCAGCTGTTCTCCCAGCACATGAGAGATAAAGCCCAAATTCCTTATTGTGGTTTACAAGGACTTTGAAGATCTTGCCCTCCTCTACTTTTCCCACACCACCCAACCCCCCACACCTCTCATCGCTTATTTCCTGTCCATGTATATAATACTCCAGGCTTATCAATTACTTGTTCCCTCAAAGCAATACACTCTCATTTCTCTATATATCTGCATGTGCTGTCCCCATTCCTAGAAGGCCCATTGTGCAATATATACATATATTAAACCACTGTGTTGTTAATTATATCTCAATGAAAAAGAAAAAAGTAGAAAAGACCAATATTTAGAGGATTTTCACTGTACAAGACTGAGTAGAACTTGTAATTTACATATAGTAGTATTCATTTCCCCTGAGTCTATATCCTCAGTGTGTCACAGGGGAGCTGATTATGCTCTTCTAGGGAAGAGGCACCCATGGACAGTCATTTTCTTACACTGGGAAATAGAGATGGTGCATAAAAAATAATTTTTCTCACCACTATTTTAAGAAATTTATAAATGAGGACAACTATGCTTCTGTGGAATCCCACAAGGATTTTGGGAGCAACTGTGTAGTCAAGGATAGGTCATCTGAACAGTTAAGGGGCTCATTCTTTCTTAGCAGCTATTTAGCTAGTACAGAGGAGCAATTATTGACCCAAAGCCAACAATTCTAGCTGGTTATTTGATAAAGGCAAACTAAGAGCTGGCCATTCACTTATGCCAAGTATTTTTTCTAATTAGATAAGATTTATTTGAATTGAGGCTCAAATGGAATATTTAGGTGGTTCTTTTAAACAGTGGTTCTGGCTAATCTCTAATGCCTTTATTTTAATTAATTATCTATGGCTTTCTCCGTTCTGCTAATGGAACTTCACTTTACAAAAGAAAAGTCGATATACAGAAGGGTGAAAGTTGGCCTTGCATCTGAATATGGTGAAAGAAAATTTAAAGTGTGAGTCATTAGAGAGAATACTTCCATAAAATAACACCATGGGAATCCTGGACATCTATTTCTTTTGTTCAGCCAGTATAGATGTGGCTTGCATGAAGGATGATGTGTTAGGAGATAAAAACCAAACGTTATTCCAGAGTAAAGCATTTGGCTTAGGGACAGAAATATAGAAGATTTAAAAAAAAAAAGAAAGAAAGAAAGAAAAAAACAAACAAAAAACCCCCTAAATAAGACAAAAACTCCAAAGAAGATGTGATCAAAAAGGCAGCCACAAAGTAAAATCATGGTATTCATCCTTTTAAACCCATTTTTCCTAATTAATGAGGATAAAAACCCCACATTTCTTACATGATTTGGTCATTGGCTGTAAAGAATGTCAGCCATTATGATTTTTTCAATTAGCATCTTTAGGAAAAATGAAACAGATAAGTGCATGTTGAAATTGGTCATGATTCCCTAGTCATCCTCAATGAAAATACAGTTATGCCTTTTCTTT